AAGGGTCAACCCCCCTTTTAAAAAAAAAAAAAAAAAAAAAAAAAAAAGAAAAAAAAAAAAGGAGAACATAGTGGGACACAACTTCTGTTTTAGGAAAGAATCAGTGGGATTCAGAAAAGTTCCCCCAAAACCACTATCCCCAACTCAACGGGCTTTTGTCTGTTTAAAACTGCAAGGGCTCTTGCAGTGAATGCATCCGTGCTGCTCGAGATGTTCCCCTCCCTGATGTTTGCAAGAGTTGCTGGGGAAAAACAGAGGTACCTTTACAAGCAGGACGTGATCCATCACATCCCTTGATGTATCTTTACTCAGCTGTTACTCAGGCTCCCTTTACAGCGAAAAGGCAAGGTGCCAGAAGCTGGTTCTGAGCACATCCCTGTCCATAGACTGCTTGGAATAAGTAACATCCATGGCAGAGCAGAGATAAAAACCGTGATTTTCAAGTCTCTCTTTGCACTTGCATTCACAGCCCCCATTGCCAAGAAAGTGGACTGGATATTCTGGGATGTAAGTCAGCATCTTTCCTTCCTGAAGCTAGATTGCTTTGCATGGGCTTATTTAATAATTGTATTAGAATCCAAATTGCCACCAGGGTAGATTAGTTTTGCAATCATCAGGTTAGAATTGAATTAGAGAGGAGGGGTTACCTTCTTCTGCTATAATGCTTGTAATTGAGCTCCAGGGGGGAAGGCAGATGTGTTTGTAGAAATCCACCACAGTTCTCAGGCTGGCTTCTGGACGTTTAGCATCCTGCCTTCGACGTGGGCCATTTCCAGGCCATCCCTTTGTCACGTGGGATGCAGAGCTGACCGTGGAATGAAGCACCTCAGGTTCTTCTGTAAATTTAATAACTAGGTTCTATGTTGTGTGACCGTCAAAACACCACTCGACTACTACATGTGTATGTTAACTGCTGTCCTGCAATTTAATTAATCAGCTTCCTGTGCAAAGAGTATGCTTGATGTTCCTATTTAACATCTACCCTTAAGTGCTTTGAATAGGAAAAGACTGAACACAGTTTGGAATAAAATACTGAAGATAATATTTCCTGGTGCATAAAATAGTCGCTGGTAGGTGAGAAGGCAGCATGATGACAGATGACATTTAGAGCTGTATGATAATGCACACTGGAGGGAGTCATTTCACTCGTGAATTTTCCAGAGTGGGTGCTAGTTTTCCAGGGCCCCGCTTAGCTGTGTGCAAGCCTGGGAAAAAAGTTTCTGCTACTTGCACAGCTGTTAGCAAGAGGAGAGTTTTGCTGTGACACCAGGAAGTGACAGAAGTCTTTTAACTCACTATTATGCTGGAAAAAATTATATATAACAAATGAAAGAGGACAGACACAGGAACAGAGAGTATTTCTGTGTGTGGTAACAAACCTGGACTTAGTTGCTGTCACAAGATTCTTTCAAGAGTGTGACATGCTTTTGAGTTACTAGGCTCTTCTTGTCCCTCCTCGTCACTGAAGAACTGAGGGCTTTGGGCTCACAAGAACAGCTCCAGCACCAGCTGTCAAACTTATCTTGGTAACTTCTGCCTTGTTAGAATAAAAGAGAAAAATTATAAAGTCAGATCTTGGCCAAGGAGAGGGTTGTGGCAGAATTTTTTTTTTTCCTCTCTCTGATTAAGCTCTCGCTTCTTCAAACCTTTTTAAATCTTTAAGTACTGAGGGAACAACTCAGTGAGAGTAATTGCCACCAAAGCAGAATCACAGTGATCGTGTATTTTGATAAATACCTTCAGCAACGCCTAAACACCCATTTCTCCATCCTACTTCAGTAAAAGCTTTTACAAGCCCTTGTAAATTCATGCCATCTATTTCAGAATTTATAATGTGCATTTATTTGAGTAGCATGGAATAAGCAAACCAACACAAAGCACTGGAACAGAGGAACTGTGTCAATTTTTATTTCTTGTGCCTTTCAGCTTTATGCTCACTTATTGTGGAAACTTGTTTCATGAAGCATTAAATAGAAGAGTCTATAAATTGACCTAGACATAACGTAACTAGTTTATAGCAAATGAAAACTTTATTTCCAGCATTGCTGCTACAAAGTTTTATAACTTCATGGATGTTACCTTATATTTATTTGCATGTATTTCCTTGTTTTAAAAAAAACACCCACAGAATTGAACTGTACAAGACGTCAGAATAATCAACTCGTAAACACTATGCTGATGTTTATTTTTTATCCTTGTGAATAAAGGTTCAACTTACAAAATTCTGTTGCTTACTGGTGTATTTAAGTACCACCTGACTACTTCTTACTCTGTAATTAAAATACTTTTTACGAATGGAAAGACTCACAGTTCATGGTTCTTCCAAGGAAACAAAGCTTTATATTTGCAACTCTATATCCACTACACAGAGGTCTTTAAACCTGCAGAGGCTATGTTAATCAAAAAGCAAAAAGCAGCGTATTGTTTTACATAGAGTCGGAAGGGAGCAGTAAGAATAGTGAGAACTGGGGGGTTTTACAAGAGGATGGTAGAATATGTGCAACGAGAGCAGCATTTGGAATGTATACAACAGACCAATACAGAAGCTAAGAGAGTGCTGTGGAGAGCTACTGGGAGATGCTTAACAGTGTTAAACATATTACTTGTGCTTTAATCTATTGCTTTCTTTCCAGTCCAATTAAATTCAAACCAACACTTCCTTTTGTTTCCCCAACAACTGGCAAAACTTGAGGTAAGTCAAGCCTGAACGCTGTGTAACTGTTACATTAGACAAGGCATAATGAAACAGGATCTGAAAGACTGATTTGTGACTTCTCAACTCAGTGCTCAAGAGGCACAAGTTCTACCAGCTGCTCTTCACCATGACTTAGTATTAATGGCTTATTTTAATGCAGTGATCTTATATTAAAAATACCAGTGGCTCACACAAGAAGTACAGCTGTCGGTCTGTGGGATGATGGTGAGAAGCACCATCAACTGTGCTGTGCTGAAAGAACTCTGGCCACTGACACAGTCAGTCCCCTTCCATCTGAGGCCCTTGTGCATTTCCCTGTCTGCTGTGCACTCACCCTAAATTTTTTCAAAACTATTGTTAAAGAAAACACATGTGTTATCTACCAGGAATAACAAGAAGTCTTTTTTGCTTACATTACAAAGCTGTGATAGGAAACAAACAGGGGACCTGCATTAAAATTGCGTTAGATGAAAGACACGAGTGCAAACAGGAGCAGGAGCCTGTTTTAGGGATAGTGTTTTGTGTCTTTTCTTCACAAAGAGGATTCCTGCCAGTGCTGGGAAGCAAAGCAGGGGCCGTTCCACTCCAGCCGCCCTGTTCCCAGGGGCAGCGCTCAGCAGGAGCTGCAGTGCCCCAGCTGAGGAGGAGCTGCGGGGGGACCGGTGATGCCCCAGCTCGGGAGGAGCGGTGATGCCCCAGCTCGGGAGGAGCTGCAGTGCCCCAGCTGAGGGGCTGCGATGCCCCAGCTCGGGAGGAGCTGCGATGCCCCAGCTGAGGGGCTGCGATGCCCCAGCTCGGGAGGAGCTGCAGTGCCCCAGCTGAGGAGGAGCTGCAGTGCCCCAGCTCGGGAGGAGCTGTGATGCCCCAGCTCGGGAGGAG